CTTTGCCCCGCCTCCTGGGGGGCGGTTCCTCTCTGGTTGTACTATTTTCTTCTGTGTTTTCTCCGCTGGGCCCAGGGCTCCGGCCCTGAGGGCTTCCCCGGATGCCTGTGCCCTCCCGGACCCTGGGCAGCGGCTCCCTGTCGTGGCCGGCCTCCCCCCTGCTTTCTGCCAAGCCTGCCGCTGTGAACGACCCCTCCTGCCGGCAGACAGGACTGAGGGCACAGGGGACTGCTCCTGGGGGACTAGCCCAGCAGGTGGGGTCGGGGCGGGGCTCTGGCCCTGCCTTTGGATTCTAGAAAAACCAGACGAGGTGCTCTGGGTATCTGATTTTTCACCCCTAATTCCAGGAAGCACTTTTAGCCCCGTGCCCATGTCAGGCTGACACGGCCCAGGCCACAGCTGAGGCCTGGCTGGAGTGGCAAGTTCTTCTGAGCTCGGGGTGCCCGTGTGCATCAGGGGGCCAGAGGTGGAGGGAGTGGGCACCGGGGAGTATCAGGCCTGGGCAAGCACACGCCTTCTCCTATTTTGAGAGTCTTCCTCCAGGCCAGGGTTCTAGCCTGTCCCACCCAATGTCCAGGGCCCTGAGGTAGGGCTATGGGGACCAGTGGAGAAAGGACGCTGGGGTTTAGGACAAGCTGAGTGGGGCCTCCCAGTTTGGTGAATGGAGAAGAGTTAAGTTGGTCCTGTCCCCCCATCGCCTCTCTGAGCCCACCAGTCCAGCACCCTGTCTCAGAGCTGGGCTCACCCAGATTGTCCCTCCATGGGCCACCCAGACGCTGGGGTGCTGAATTCACAGCAGCACGGCTGGAGAGGTCCCAGAGGCTGTGTTGCCCCGGTCACCTCCTCCGTCTGTCTTGGGGTCCTGGGTGCCTGCGCCAGGGACGCCCATGTGAACCGTGATCTTCCCTCTGTGTAGGTCCTGAGTCAATGACTTCAGCCCCATCCGGGTCAGGAAGGGAGAACCGGGAGTGGCTCTGCCCATCAGCTCCCTTGGAGATCGACAGACAGACAAGGGGCAAAGGGCAAGGAGGAAAGTTCAGGGACCCCTGCTTGCTTTTGTCTCAATGAATGCAACTTTCAGGTGCTTCCAGCTCAAGTTCAGTTGTGGTTGTGTCTCCTCCCATTTTGAAAGGTGGAGTTATCCAGGGGCGCAGGAGTGCCCCTGTGCCTTCTGGGCAGATTCCCAGCAGAGGAGTGGGAAGAACTGCAGCCAAGGCCTGGGGGGAGCTTAAGGGCCTGGTCCGACTGAGCGTGGTGGTCCCACTGGGTGCGGGGCATGCAGGAGACGCTGCCTGCTCTCCGCTTGGTCTGCCTTCTCTGAGTGCATGTCTGCTGGAAGCAGTTCCTGCTCAGTGCTACTCGCGGGTCTCCATCTCCAACCACGGGGGGCCTATTGGGGTGGGGCAGACAGTAGATGCTGAGGGGTCCCCATGTCTTTCCTGCTGTTCTTGGGTCCCCAAACCTCTTGGCTAACGTTGTGCATGTTTAATTCTCCATTGGCTGTGGCTGCTACCTGCCTAGGAGCTGATAACTAATCCTTCCCAGCAGGTGAGTCACTCTTGGGGCTCTAGACACCCCAAATTTAACCACTGTCCTGGGCGGCAGCCCTTTACTGGGCCCAAAGGAGAGGGCTTATTCATTCCACCTTCTACCTTATTGCCCGTCTCTACGGGGTGGCATCAGGGAGGGTTCCCAAAGAGAAAGAAATGTAGGGAAAGGAGGTGATGCAAGCAGACCCCGCAATGGAGGTGAATGTCTACTGGAGTAGGGAGAAAGCTTCCAGATCTATTATCTTACCTGCCAGGCCCATCCTGTAAGACTGCACAGGCTGGGCACTGCACAATTCCAGGGGCACAGTTCACAAAGACAGTGAGGTGAGTGGCAGCCCCAGGAGGTGGCCAAGATGGAGAGTGTACTTGGAGGGCCCCCCCTCACCAAAGCCAGAACTGGCCTCCTGTCTACCTCACCAGGGGCCCAAGAGGAGGCAGGGGAATCTTTGATTTCTTGGGAATTGCTTGCTAGAACCCCCGAGGAGAGAACTTGGCATGCAATTCTGCCTCAGTTTCCCCCACCTCTGAACTTGTGGGTGCCCTGCCCTGGGCACACTGGGCTGTGCCTCAAGTCCCCAGGAGTCCAGGAACCGTGGCCTCACAGGCACTCAGAACCATTCTCATCATAAGCTTGGGGAGGTTCTCTGGGTGGGCTGGTAGGAGTTTGGGCTGGTTGTCTGGGACATGGTAGATCAAATCCCAGTGCCCAGAGCCATAGGAATCAGTCACTCCCCCTCTCTCCGAATAATTCCTTCTCTAGTTTGCCCAGAGAGGGCACTTTCTAAGAACGAAAGTGACTCAGCGCCCATCCGGTTCTAGCCCATGGTGAAGTCCCAGATGCCTCCTGTTAGAGTCCGTCATTAACCCCCCTCCTCTCTTCCGTCATTTTCTTCCCCTTTCTCTCTTCCTCCCACACCAGGAGCACTCCCTGGCTGGTACAGGGGTGGCTCATGGGGTGGGGGGTAGGCAGAAGAGGATTGGGGAAAACACTCCCCCCCCCCCTTTACTACTTGGCTTGTCGGTTGCAGAAAGAGTTGGGCTCCACCGAGGACATCTACCTGGCCTCGCGCAAGGTCAAAGAGCTGTCGGTCATCGACGGCAGGAGGGCACAGAACTGCATCATCCTTCTCTCCAAGTATGTGCTCGCCGGCCTCTGCCCCTTGACAGGTGATAGGCCCCAGGTGGGAAGGAGCGGTTCCCCCAGGAAGAAGAGGCCTGAGACGGGGCTGACTGCCTCGGGAAGAGAGGCGGCAGAGGAAGGGAGTGAGAGCCGTCTCTGGCCTCCCCTTCGCCTCCCTGCTATCCTCCTGGAATGGTGGGGAACCACTGATCTAGAACCCTCTCCCAGGAGCCCATGTTGAGCACCGTGCAGGGCTGTGCAGACAGGAAGCTGCCCCGGTCACGGGGCCCCTGACCAGCATGGTCAGTGTCTGACAGCGGAGTTGCTCTAAGCCCACGGAGGGCCCCGCTTGGCTTAGGCCACAGAGCTGCATGATCTCAGCCCCCAAGCATTTCCCGCGGCTGCAGAACAAACAGGGCAGTATCTGGGCTAACAGCATAGCTTCTGTGTGGGGCCTCCCGCCTGAGCTGGGGTCAGAGGGCACCGCCTCCCCTGCTATTCTTAGTGCTGCCCCAGCCTCCCCGGGACATCCTTCCCCATCTCCTTCCACGAGGCCCCAGGCCTCAGTTTCTCCCCCTTGAGAGTGAGGGAGACTTCTGCTTCCCCAGGGCTCCCAATGGGTGTGCATCTGGAGGGAGGGGTGTGTGGCTGTGTGTGTGTAGGGGACTGCTTCTCCCTCGCCCGGACGCCAAGACGTACTGGAACAGCTGCGTAGGATCTGAGGCACAGTCGGAAGACTGAGAGCTACTCTGTCTCGAAGGAGGCAGAAAACTGCCCTCTTAGCGGCCTGCCCCCAGTCCCTTCCTCCCGCGGAGATGCTGTAGATGTTTTAGGCATGAGGAGAAGGATCAGAAACCCTTCAGCCGCACAGTCTACTCAGAAGATGGCCTCTTTACTCCCAAATATCGCGATCCATTACTCAAGCAGGAGGCCAGAGACTCCTGTGTCTGTTTAGAGCCTAAGACATCTCATGACTGGGCTACAGAGGGGGCCGTGTCGGTCCAGCCCGAGGAGGCTCTGCAGGGGAGCTGAGGAGGGAGGGCCGTCAGGTGTCCTCCCGCGCTCACGGAGGGGCAGCATGGAAGCCCGGGCTCTGGCTCCTGAAGGGGCAGGTCTGGGGTCTGTCCTGAGCAGAGGGGCCAGGCCAGGCTGCTCACAGGCTGCGGTCTTGCCACAGGTTGAAGCTTTCTAATGAGGAGATCCGGCAGGCCATCTTGAAGATGGATGAGCAGGAGGACCTTGCTAAGGACATGCTGGAGCAGGTGAGGCCCCTAGTGGGGCGGGGAAGGGGCCAAAACTAGGGGCAGCCAGCCGTACCCCTTCCTGACAGCCCCCAAGGAGACTGAGACTCCTAGGTCAAGGAGAAATCAGGCTGGAAGCTGGAGAGATGAGGAAGAGGTTTATGAAAACTTCCCAGGACCAACAGTTCTGCTGCGTCTTTTCAGGGGATTGAGGCCCCCTGGTGGGAGATCTGAGGTGTGATTCCAGCGTCACAGTGATCCTTAGCCATATCTTCCCCAATCTCTCCCACCTCAGTTTGTTGTGTCTTTCAAGAGAAACCTAGCAAACACCAAACAAAAACCACCATCAACTGGACATTAAAATTAAGAACTCTGTTCATCTAAAGGCACTATTACTCGAGTGAAAAGCCAAACCTTAGCAGATCTTCGCTTTATGTATAGACCCCAAAGATCTCATATTCAGAATGAAGAACTTCACAGAGGAGTGAGAAAATGGTGAACAACTCAATTTAAAAATAAGCGAAAGACTTGAATCGATATTCCATGAAAGAGAATTTCCAACTGATGCAGTACTGTCAGTCATCAGAGAAATATGGTAAATCACAGTGAGGTAGCACCATCCACCCACCTAAATAGCCAAAATTTAAAAGGCTGACAGTGTCAGGTGTGGACAGGGATGTGAAGCAGCTGGAATTCTCACTTGGTACAACCGTTCTGGCAGGACACACACCTGTCCTATTGCCCAGCAGCCCCCCTCCTGGATGTACAGAAACAAGTACAAATGCTGACTGTAAGGTGTACACAAGACTACTTACAGCAATTTTATTTATAAAACTCCCAAAGTGAACAACCCAACTGTCCATCAGTAGGAAAGTGAGCACACAGACTGGGACATTCCATGATAGAATTGTGCTCAGCAGCGAACAAAAAGCAAACGACCAGTACTGACTACAACCTGCATGAGTCTCAGACATTATGTTGAGTAAAAGAAGCCAGATACCAGAGAGGACATACAGCGTGAGTCCATCTGTACGAAGTCCAAGAGTGGCCAAACTTAATGTAAGGTGATAGGGTTCAGTTGAGAGGCTATGCAGGGAAGGGGTGGCTCGGCTTATTGAAGTAGCACAGGGGACCCTTCCAGGGGGATGGGCATCTTCTGCATCTCAATCTGGATGGTGGTTCAGTGGGTGGATAGTTTTGTCAAAACTCATTGAATTGTACATTTAAAATGGATGCATTTTATTTTATGTAAATTATACCTCAATAAAGTTGGCTTAAAAAGAAAATTATTGGGGGGAGGGTATACCTCAGTGGTAGAGTGAGTGCCTAGCATGCACGAGGTCCTGGGTTCAATATCAACTTTCA